CGTCAGGCAAGTCCTGTCTGCTGAGTCATCATTGACCTCCCTTTTTTCACGACACCACAAATTTGCACTCACCTCTCTTGTGTTCTGGAATGTTCACGTGATTTCCCTCCAACCTGTTGCACGTGCAGTGTTTACCTTGTGTGGTTGCTCGATGTTACATGCTCTTGCATAACACACCACATAATCACACAACTCTCAACAAACACTGCCACGTCACCACTTTGCGTTGTCGACAATTCTTGTCTTCTGCTCTGTTTCTTTCTGTTGGAGTGTTCATTCATCCTACATCCTTGTTTGCTTCACAACTCAAGTAAACACACACACCTTCCTCTTGCCAAGACAATCTCCCACACAACACACACACACACACACACACACACAAGTCTCCAACAACAGCACCACCACCATGAACTTGCAACATCTGCACACGACGTGCTAGGCCATCGCAGCAGCGCGGCCGTCGACGCCTTCCGGCAGCAGATCGCCCAGGCCTCTTCCAAGCACATCGTCACCTGTGGACCATGTGCGCTTGGCAAGAGCACGCGCGCCTCCATCCCGAAGCAGTCTGCTCCACGCAGCGCTGGGCCATGCCAGCTGCTCTACGCCGACATCGCCGGTCCGCTGGAGGAGACGTCGCTGCGAGGTGCACGCTACGCGCTGACCTTCATCGACGACTGCACGCGCTTTGCCTGGACGTTTCTCATCCGGCACAAGAACGACGTCGGTGCGGCCCTGGAGCAGCTGCGCAAGGACCGTCACGTCGTCAACGCGCTCCGAGGCGCCACGCTGCAGACGGACAGCGACGCCGTCTTCAAGAGCCAGGACTTCACCGACCTGTGCGTGGCCTTCGACATCAAGCAGCGCTTCTCGCCACCGCACTCGCAGGCCAAGAACGGATCTGCAGAGCGCACCTTCCGCACCCTCTTCGAGACGGCGCGCACGATGCTGTTTGCTGCGGACCTGGACAAGCCGTTCTGGGGCTTCGCCGTGCAGCATGCCACGCTGCTGCACAACATCGCTCCACGCAGGAGCCTCAAGGACAAGTCACCCTTCGAGGCCCTGACTGGGCACCCCTTTGACGTCAGCCTGCTGCGCGTCTTCGGCTCGCCGGCCTACGTGCATGTGGAGAAGAGCAGCACGCGGCACAAGCTCGACCCACGCTCACGCGTCGGCGT